ACTTTTTGGTTTTGATTCAAAATTTTATTTTTGAGATATTGACTTTTTTTTTAAAAGGGGGGGGGGGGGGGGGGGGTTTCACATGTCGCGCCGTATCTCAAAAACGATTTATGATTATTGCTTAAAATTTTACACACTTCTTAGTTATATTAATTTTAAGATCTGTATACTTTTTGGTTTTGATTCAAAATTTTATTTTAGAGATATTGAGTTTTTTGTAAAAAAAAAAGGGGGTTTTCGCATGTCACGCCGTATGTCAGAAACTATTTATGCTTATTGCATAAAAATTCACACACACGCGTATCATGCGCTCATGGCGCAGCTGTTTATTTAAAGTAGTGTTCAAGTTGTGACCATTTGAAATTTGTTTTTTTTACAATTTCCCCTTAGACTTCTATAGTAAATCCCTATGTTCTATTTTTAGCCATGGTGGCCATGTTGGTTGGATGACAGGGTCATCGGATATATTATTCAATGAAGTTACCCAATTGAAAATTGTGGCTAAGTTTAATTCTATTTGTCCCAGTAAATTCAATGAAGAAGATTTTTGTAAAAGATAAAAAAAATTTACGAAAAAAATGTAAAAAATTTGACTATAAAGGGCAATAACTCCTTAAGGGGTCAATTGAAAATTTTGGTCATATTGACTTATTTGTAGATCTTCTTTGCTGAACATTATTGCTGTTTAGAGTTTATCTTTATCTATAATAAAGATAATAACCAAAAACTGCAAAATTTCCTTAAAATTACCAATATTCAGAGGCAGCAACCCAACGGGTTGTCTGATTCGTCTAAAAATTTCAGGGAAGATAGATCTTAATCTGCTGAACATTTTTACCCCATGTCAGATTTGCTCTACATGCTTTAGTTTCAGAGATATAAGCCAAAGACTGCATTTTAGTTTTTACCCCTATGTTCAAATTTTAGCCATGTCGGCCATCTTGGTTGGCAAGCGGGGTCATTGGACATTGTTTTTTTACAAGATACCCTAATGATGATTGTGGCCAAGTTTGGTTAAATTTGGCCCTATAGTTTCAAAGGAGAAGATTTTTGTAAAAGATTACAAAAATTTAAGAAAAACTGTTAAAAATTGACTATAAAGGGCAATAACTCCTTAAGGGGTCAATTGACAATTTTGGTCATGTTGACGTATTTGTAGATCTTACTTTGCTGGACATTATTTTGCTGTTTACAGTTTATCTTTATCTATAATAATATTCAAGATAACCAAAAACTGCAAAATTTTCTTAAAATTACCAATTCAGGGGCAGCAACCCAACAACGGGTTGTCTGATTCGTCTTAAATTTCAGGACAGTTAGATCTTAACCTGATTAACATTTTTACCCCACATCAGATTCTCTCTAAATGCTTTAGTTTCAGAGATATATGCCAAAAACTGCATTTTACACCTATGTTCTATTTTTAGCCATGTCGGCTATCTTGGTTGGCAGGCGGGGTCATCGGACACATCTTTTAAACTATATACCCTAATGATGATTGTGGCCAAGTTTGGTTAAATTTTGCCCAGTATTTCCAGAGGAGATTTTTGTAAAAATTAACGACAACGGACGACGACGGACGCCAAGTGATGAGAATAGCTCAATAGGCCCTTCGGGCCAGGTGAGCTAAAAATGGATCAAAATCGTCATTAAAAGGCAAAAACTCCAATTTTCGAACTGTACTCTTATTTGTATATTGTCTTGTTGATAATTTTTGCTTATTTAAGATTCTATCTATTATAGTTTTTTTTCAGATATAAGGCAAATATGAAAAAAATGGTAAAAATCATCATTAAGGAGAAAAAAGTTAAATAAGGAGTTGTTTGACCATTACAACCATGTAACGTGTTAAACCTATTTGTAGATCTTGTCTTGCTGCTCCTTTTTGCTGGTATAAATTTCTATATACATGTAATAGTTTTCAGATATAAGGCAAAAACAAAAAAAAAAGAATGGTAAAAATTGTCATTACAGGGTTAAACTCCAATAAGACAGGTTGTCAGACAATTCCAACCATGTTGACTTATGTGTAGATTTTATCAACTGTACTTGATGTTTAAAGTTTATCTCTGTATATTATAATTTTCAAGATAATAGGCAAACTTGGGTAAAAATGGTAAAATTTGTTGTTTAAGGGCAATAACTCCTTTAAGAAGTCGTCAGACAGTTTTTATGTCAATGTCAAGGACCTCACCATTTTTATAATTTTTTCATCAGTCAGATTTCTCTATCTATAACACTTTTCAAGATAACAGACAAAACTTGCACTTTACCCATATGTTCTTTAATTACTCATGTCGGCCATGTTTGTCGGCAGGTGGGGTCATTTGACACATTTGTTTTGTGACAATATAAGTTCCCCCATAATATTTGTTCCAAAGAACTTTTAGCATATAACAAAAGTTCCATTTGGAACTTTCCTTATATAATATCTTATCCAATGCTAGTATAAGAAAATTTCCTTTACAAAGGATAACATATTACATAAGTAAAGTTCCCAATGGAACTTTTGTTATATGCTTAAAGTTCTTTGGAATAAATATTATGGACAACGTTTTATTTAATAAAAGTTCCAGGAATATTTGTAATATTATAAGAGTTCCAGGGAAATTTGTTATATTATAAAAAGTTCAAGGAATATTTGTTATATTATAAAAGTTCTAGGAATATTTGTTATATTATAAACGTTCCAGGCATATTGGAATATTGTCTGTATTATAAATGTTCCAGGAATAGTTATCATGGTTATAAGATAATTAAAGTTCTAGAAATATTTATTATATGATCAAAGTTCTAGGAATATATAATTCATATGATGAAGACATAATCTTTCAATCAGTTTAATTGAAGTCTGGAGCTGGCATGTCAGTTAACTGCTAGTAGTCTGTTGTTATTTATGTATTATTGTCATTTTGTTTATTTTCTTTGTTTACATCTTCTGACATCAGACTCGGACTTCTCTTGAACTGAATTTTAATGTGCGTATTGTTATGCGTTTACTTTTCTACATTGGCTAGAGGTATAGGGGGAGGGTTGAGATCTCATAAACTTGTTTAACCCCGCCGCATTTTTGCGCCTGTCCCAAGTCAGGAGCCTCTAGCCATTGTTAGTCTTGTATTATTTTTAATTTTAGTTTCTTGTGTACAATTTGGAGTTTAGTATGGCGTTCATTATCACTGAACTAGTATATATATTTGTTTAGGGGCCAGCTGAAGGACGCCTCCGGGTGCGGGAATTTCTCGCTGCATTGAAGACCTGTTGGTGACCTTCTGCTGTTGTCTGTTCTATGGTCGGGTTGTTGCCTCTTTGACACATTCCCCATTTCCATTCTCAATTTTATTCAATATCCAAAATTATTTCTATCTACAAATGTATGGGAGTAAATTTCCAATAATAAAGTACAGGCATTTTCATCTGATTTGTGGCTAACTTCATGCTTGACTCTAGTTTAAGCTAAACTTTCTTCATTGGTACAGACTAACGGACCATTTAGTTAAGTAAGTCACAGTGGAGCATGCAGTAATAAAATATTAAAAATATATATTCTTACCTTGTTTAGAATAACAGCCATCGTTTAACAGGTTGGGAACAAACCCTCTACATGGTGTTTTTACCTGTATAGAGTGATAATCCTTCTATAGGGGGATACAAATATCCCTCTATAGAGGGGTATTTTTCTTTAGACTGGATTTAGAGCAAAATAGGGCAGATTGGCATTTTCTAGTTATATTGGCTATAATCTATAGCATTGTCAGTTTAGCAGTAAACTGGTCATATACAAATTAAATTAAGTACATCAATTGATGCATACAATGCTATAGATTATAGCCAATATAACTAGAAAATGCCAAGCTGCCCTATTTTGCTCACTCTATACAGGTAAAAACACCATGTAGAGGGTTTGTTTCCAACCTGTAAATATGAAAAAATTTTGTTGTATTCCTCAGACTCCATTCTTTGGATGTACAACATGTACAGGTAAATGTCATGTGACGTGAACATTAATTATGATGTAATCAGGTGTAAAAAAATCAATTGACACTCTTTCTTTAAGATGGTACATAACATTACAGGGAGATAACTCTGTAAAAATCAGCTGAACGTTTTAATCACGTTCTATTGTTTATGAAATATTAAGCTTCTAAATGATCAAAATTAGTGTTTGTCAAACTGCTATAATCCAATGAAATTTTTCCGATAAAGTGTGTGGTTCAAGTTTTTAAAATTTTTTATATTTTTGTGAAAGGATCAAAGTAAATATTTTGTCAAAATTTTATGAAAATTAAACGAGCCAAATTAATTTTAGTCGAGATGTTTGGTACCACCTTAAAGGAACAAATATTAAGAAACCATATGACGTTTTAGTTCCAGAAAAATATCTTATGAAGGTGGAAATAATATTATGTAATGTGTGTTCCCAAGAACTTTTATACCCATGGTTTTGTTGCAGGGTGAACAAGTATTATGCGTAACAAATATATGTTCACATACGCATGTCCAAGATTGAGGACTAATAATGTTTAAATTATCATACACAAAACTATTTTTGTTTGAAACTTTGATTATATAAGTCGATTTAGTAAACTAAAGTGACACGTGTTATGCTATAAATAAATGTCCTGAATAACTATACTGTAAACTAAACGGGGAAAATAGATATCCGATAACGTAATGTCGATGCAATTGCATAATAACTCTTAAGTTAACAAAGTAGAACATATATGCAGTGCACTGCCGTTTGTCAGAAAATGTAAAATGTATTCATACAAGCCTTATAAACGTTCTTTTATTGTAACAATGCACATTTATAGTGTACTAGTCATTAACTTTTAGAGACTTTTAAAGACATATGAAGAGCTCGATGAAGAGTAGTGCATTCCTTTATGTTTATTTATTTATGTGAATTGTGGGGTCGTCATGGTCATGTGATCGTTGCTAAACATATATCGGTTGCTTTCAAACCACAATCAGCAAAATGATGATATTAATTCTAAACTTACCTTTCTCATTTTGTGGGAATATAAATTATGTCTGTATGCATTAGGCAATTGTGCAGAAAATCTCATTTCCAGTTCCGTTATCATTATAGTAAAGGGAGGTTATAAATATCTCCCATGCAAATACGTTAGGTTTCACAAGAGCGCAATTATTCGTAATGCATTTTTCCATAAGGGAATGTTCAATATTTAATTTCTCGAAGACTACACAAACTGCACAAGAATAATAGTTACCCTGAAAAGTGTCCAGGGGTAAGCCTACCAGAACAGAAACTAGAAAACAATGGGTAACATTTTCCGACGTCCATTCGTGTTACTAGAATTGTCAGCGTTGCTTAACAGCTAAAACAATATATATATATGGTCATGCAGCAAAAATTGACATTATATGCAGTTAAAAACAACATCATTTTTTTGTATGAATGGAAAAGGCAAATTTTCAATGGTATCGACGTGCAAAACTGGAGCATATTTTCTATACTTTGTAAAATATGAATTTGCTTTTCTGGATTTTAGTGTAAACAATATTTTATTTTGAAAATAATAACGTAAACATTACAATATGACAGGATTGGAAAACAAGTGAATTTTCACTTTTACAAATTCCTCTCCCATATGATATAATAAAAGATGGATGGAGTCAGAAATATGTTTTTAACTGAGATAAGAAGTATTTGTTGACCAAATTCACAACTGAACTACAGTGCTATCAAACTACACAGGTATAAATATAAATTAACGACAATTTAATTTATACATAATTATATATCTCAATGCATGTATATGAAATTCACACGAATCTCTTTGTTTTAAGAATAAAATCTTGAATAATGAGAAAGTTATCAGAATTCTCAATGTCGGACACCAAAGGATTACCATACAGTAAGTTATGTATAATAGGCTGACATGACAAGTTACTCAGCATAAATTCTCTAAGTAATTGGTATTGCGGACAACGCAATAAAAGTGTTCAGATGTTTCAATATGTCTACATTTACAAAAAGGATCAGTAACTAAATTTTTTCTATACAAATGTTCATTCAGACCACTGCTCTCAGTTCTAATTCTAGTGTGCAAAATTTGTCCTAGTCTACTACCACTATAAAAATATTTTGGGACAACCCAAGTTTTCTTCAAATACTTCTTAAATATATATAAAGAAGAATTTCTGATATTAATTGGAATCTCGTTCCAAAGACGGACAGTAGAAGGAAGAAACTGTTATGATAATAATTCGTTCGTGCAGGCATGTGAGGCACATTTCCTGCGTTGCGTGTCCCATACGAATGTGATTGGCCAAAGTTGGTAGGGACTAGATTTGAAAGATAGGCTGGAGAGTTATCTATCTGATGAAACAAAATAAGCTTGTGATTTTTTCGCCTTTCCCTGAGAGTTTCCCACCCGGTCTCTTTTAGAAGAATTTGTAGACTTGTTAACTTAGTAGCCCCAGTAACTATACGTGCTGCCTCATAATTAATTTGTTCCAGTGGATCTTTCAAATATTCTGGACAATTATCCCAGATTACATCGGCGTACTCTAAAATAGGTCGAACATATGAAAAATACATGACTTCAAGCGTTTTCCAGTCTGCCTTGAACTTAAGCCTTCTTCACATATTCAGACGGACAGATTCTTGTGCTATGATGCCATCAATTTGTATTTTCCAGCTGCCGTCACTCAAAAAATGTAAACCAAGGTGTTTGTGTGACTCGACAGTGTTTATTACATTACTATCCATGATTAATGACGGATGATGATCAGGGTCTTTTTTTCTAGATATAATCATTGATTCAGTTTTCTTCGGGTTAAACTTCACTAACCATTCATCTGCCCATTTTTGAATTCGATGCATATCATAATTTAGAGTAACAGAAGTAACCAGAGGATTTTCGACAACTGCATATATGCTTGTGTCGTCAGCAAATAGCTTAATATGACAATTAACCTCATTTACAATATCATAAATAAAAACTAAAAATAACAATGGACCCAAAATAGATCCTTGAGGAACACCAGAGTTAATGTCTGTCAAGGAGGACACTTGCCCATTAATAACCACCCTTTGTTTACGGTCAGCCAAATAATTTTTGAGCCAAAGAAGAAGATTCCCAGTTATACCCATCTTTTTTAGTTTAAATAGTAAACCTCTATGCCATACGCGGTCAAAGGCTTTACTTATATCAAAGAAGACAATTCTGATATCTTTTCCCTCATCTAAGGCCTTACTAAAAACATGAGTCAAGTATAATAGCTGGTTACGAGTTGGATCTTTTAACATAAACCCCGACTGGTGTTCCGACAAGAGATCCCTTATAAAGTTCATAATATGATTATATATACATCTTTCAAAAGTTTTACTTATAACACTCAACAATGAGATGGGTCGATAATTACCAATATAATTTCTTTCGTCCTTCTTAAAAACAGGAATAACATTAGCTAATTTCCAAGCTATTGGATAATACATTTTAGTCAAACTTAGATTGAATATATAGCACAAAGGTTTCGCTAAAATATCTGAGGCAATTTTCAAAAGTCTTGGGCTAATTCCATCAGGACCAGATGCTTTATTAACATTGGTTATTTGTAGAATGTCGTTCACTTCATGCTCCTGAAGAATTATATTGTCAAGACACGTGACGGGAGGAGTATCGTCAGTAGGAACAGACATGTTTTCATCAGAAATGTTTTGACTGCGACGCAAAAAAAGCATTAAAAGCTTCAGCTTTATCAATATCGTTATATAAAAAATCATTGTTGTCGAGAAGTGGTGGGATGTCAGATTCTCTGGACTTAAATCCAGCTAGATGTGATGCTGTTATCCACCAACTTCTTATACTCAATGAGTCAGACCGTAATTTCGCAACGAGATCGTCGATATAGTCTTGTTTTTGTTTTCGGACTAGATTTACGGTCTTGTTTCGAAACTTTCGAAGTTTTGACCAGTGCTCTGGAAGATTAGACTTCTTCGCTCTTTTGTTCATCCTATTTCGCTTTCTGATTGCGCGACGAATAGTATTGTTTATCCACGGCGGATCTGTCTTCCTAACTATTATGATTTTATTAGGAATCGATTCCGCTGCGGTTTTCAATAGAATTGGTGTAAAAGTCTCTACAAGAAGATCGACATCGTTATTTCCATCTATTATGAAATTTTCCCAATCGACTGCGGACATTTTTTCTCGGAATAAATTAAGATCCCCTCTGTCATACAGCCAAATTCGACGCTTAAAGCACGTTTGAGAAGGTTTCTCAATTTTTATTATTCCGAATGTCGGACAATGATATCTAATGTTTGCGTGTAGGAACGGATGACCAACATGAACAAGATCGATTACAATCCTTTTATTAGCAATCACTAGATCTAAACAGGAAGTCGAATTTTCCGTAAAATGTGTAGGTTCGTCGATAAACTGAAACATATCATATTTTCGGATGATATTTTTCATTCGGACATTACTTGGTTTCAGATAGTCTTCATTGAAGTCCCCCAAAACGACAATGTTTTCAACTCCTGTATCAACTGCTTGATCCAGAGAGTGTTCGATAAGCGTAGAAGAATTATCACCAGAATCTGGTGGTCTATAAAATACACCCATTAACACTCTTTTGTGACTTTTAGCTTGAATCTCAACCCAAAGACTTTCTATACCACTGACATCTAAATCATGTCTTTGTACAACATGTAGATTATTTTTAACATAAATGGCTACACCCCCACCGTTTCTCCCAACACGGTCATTTCTAAGTGGTCGATGAAAACTGCCCAAAAATATGTCTTGATCATTAATATTCGAATTAAGCCTTGTTTCACTAAAGCAGAGAACATCAATACTTTTTAGTTCCGCATTGATTATATCTAACTCTGGATTTTGCAAACCTTATTGGATAAGTTTTCGATTAAAAGTAATTCGAATATCATGTATCATCCTCCAGCATGCAATCAGAAGCTGTACAAAAATTCTATTCTGAGTATCATCTTGTGCTGGGGGTTGGGAGGGGGGACTTTCCGGTAAAATGTAAACAATTTTTTACAGATTTCAGCTGACGGATATTCTGCCAAGACCACGTTAGGAGTGGGAGTTCGTACACTCAACGCTTTTACAATCTCCACCCCCCCCCCCCCTAAAAAAAAATATAAATAGAAGCATTCAATGGTTATGATTACATGTTTATGCTGCAACCATGAACATGTAAGTTATACATATCAAGCTTAGTCAGTAGGAAATTTAGTGAAAAAGAACAAAAGAAAATTACCTTTTTTATGATAGAGTCGAGAAAATCAATAATAAAACAATGCCGGTTACGACACTTATCAAAAGTTATTTCTAAATAACACTTGTACATTTTAAAGAAATCACTTGTTGAATTGTTTCATAAGAAATAAACTATGATAGATGCAAGTAAACGATGTTTTATGTTCAGTATATCTATTGAGATAATTGCATAGAAGCTTGTGAAACTGAAATCTGAAAAATGCCCATCTTTGCTGCATATTGATAAAAAAGAAAATGGAAAATACCATGTACATACCAAATATAAAGGATTTTTTTTTAAAGACAAGTGCCTGTGATTAAAGGAGAGAAATGATAATATTAAATGGAAGTTTTGTTTTTATTTTAACTTATTTCTATCTTTTTTTTTACTTTACCAGAACGTTTTCCAGTGAATTTATAATTGATAGCGTCTTTGCTAAAGTGGGACAAACATTGAAAAGTAATGTAAATGTTGAAATCAAAAGGACATTTTTTATCATGCAAGGTCAATGAACCGTGCATGGTCTAAGGTGACTTTGTCATATAGTTCAACAGGTAAACCATGCAAACGTTTCAAGGTCAGTGGACTATGGGTGGCATATCTGAAGGGGAAGTGACCAAAATATATCTAAGGAAATGAGAGTTGCCAACAACGGCATACCAAATATCGGTAGTTTTTCCATAAACTGATCTACTCACAAACTTATACGTGTAAAGTAATCAAACATTTCAAAGTCATTGACGTGGCGGGACTAAATAATCTCCATGGAAATAAGACGTGCAAATGCTTATACAACTTCAAAT